TTGCAGTTTGGGCACTCAATCTCTAAAAAGTTCACCATCACTGCACTATAGCTTCCATTAGACCCCAATGTTGATGCCTTCCTTATTTTAGATTTGTCACTTTATAAGTAAAAATAGGGACCTAAATATGGACAAGCTGGTGTTCTCCAAATGTATATCCATAACCAATGGAGAGGAGTTGCTGAAACTCAAGAATATCCTGGAAGATATTCTGCTTTTCGTTTACTGAGATTGTTTGAGAATTCAATAATATCTCAGTGTATTGGTATATATGTCAAAATGACTATCTTCTAAGCCAGGACAGATTTGCATATTATTCTTCCAATTCATATGATTTTAGCTGGGTTCACAGAGTTGTTAATGTACTTTAGCTTAAAATATCTGAATGAACACCTGTTGTTTTGTAAACCCTGGTTTAAAGCTTATGTGTGTATCTCAACCAGTGGTGATATATTGCACAACAAACACACAAAAGCAAATCATGTCTTAGTTCAAGAAACATTTGAACCTAATCAACGGTGAACTGCAAACTCTGTCTTCTCTGTCTCTTAGCATTGTTTTGGCTTATGACTCTGGCTCTGGCCAGAGCCATCTAGCTTTATTTTAGCTGCTCCTATTAGTAAGAAAACAGAAGTAATTTTGCAAAACACACACAGCTCTTTTACAGTTAGGAGAAAATCATCAAAAAGTATAACTTGAAGTGATGTCTAAATGCAGTAAATTTGCTATCAGCAATCTTAGAGGTATGAAACAGCTTCCCACTCAGAAATTTATCTTTAGAGGCTATGAGAATGGAGCTCAACCTTGAAAACAGATTAGCAACTCACAATAGTAAATGGTATCTTTCAGTACAGTATAAGAAAGCATGTTAACAAGCACACTCATTAAAATAATTGACAACTATCCCACTGGCTTTCATTGGATTTTTTCCCTTTAAGATAATAGCTTTTGGCTTTGTCTTCTGAAGAAAGGTCTAATTGTTATCAAATGTTGCAACTTTCTTAGTCAAGTTTTTAAAAACAACAGAGAAAGCCATCTCAGATTACATTTCATGTGGCACAAACGTTGTTTGTTCACTCTAATGGGGTAATTTTTAAAGAGGGATTATTTTAGTCCTTCTAGAATAACCGTTCACCACATGTAGATTTTTGCTATTGTAATATTTGTCTTGCTTTTCCATTATTTGTTTTGGCTTTGTGCATCCAGTATGCACAATCAATATGATTAAAATCCTACATAGAAGTGAGAAACATTTGTAGCTTGCTCTGCATATTATATATACAGGATCTACTTAAAAATCCTAACAGCAGTAAATTATTGAGTGCAATTTACTAAGTGTGTTTATTCTTTGCTTGTGTCACTTTTGCAACTGCTGGCCTGTGGGCCAGTTGCATCATGCGGAGGCTGCACCACCCCAGGTCCGGCAATGCAAAAAAAGTTGTGATACACTACAACACGTCTCATGACATGGCGAGTTTGACACTTGTACTAAACTATGCTTTGTTTCTTGGGGCTAGAGAACTTCAAAGCTGACCTGCAAAATCTACCCCCTGAAGTTCAAAAGTAAAATTATAACACTTGTTTGTAAATGTTTTAAATGTGCTTTTCTTCTCTTAAAATCATTGGTAAAGATACAGCTATTTTAATGCATTGCAGACAGTTGTTCTTTATGGCTCCCCATACATTCCTAAGTCCCTCTGGAGAGGGAATCTGAAGCAATGAACCATCCAAGTGTGGACTGGAGGTATTGTCACTCCCATGTGCTATTTTCTAATCCTACTATTTTCTCAGAAACAAGCTCCAATGACTTTTAAATGATATTATATTATTAAAGCTGTATAGTTCAAGAAGATGCTAGGTCAGAGAAGAGAGATGAGAAGGTTGCACTTTAGCCAAATCAGAGTTGTTTCTCAGTGGTGTTCTGTACTGCAGTGATAAGCTTTAATATATGTTATAATAAGCTTTATATATGAAAATAACCTAAAGTTTGGGAATGTGTCCACTGCATTTTAAATATTTTTTCTGCCAAACAACTTTGCAAAACCTAGTTTACCTAATTAATCTATTTCACATAAGACACTAATAAAGTAGATATTTAGATAGGAGTTCACTTGACCAAGCAGCCACGTTGTCACTAATATCCTGAATATATTAACATATGCAAATACTGGTGAATTGTATCAGGTCTATTGCAAGGAAATTATATCATTCCTTTCTCTATTCTAGCCAATTATAACATTTATTCCAAATTTCATAGAATTCTGTCGCCTCCTTGTCTTTTAATTCTAACGTAAGTTTGTTCATTTCTGTGCATTCCAAGATTTTGTACATAATCATATCATTTGTGGGAATATTTTCACTCTTCCAACATTGAGAATATGCTATACGAGCTGCAGTCAATATGTGTAAAATGATATGTTGGAGTTGTTTTTCCATCTTTAAATTTATTATGCCCAAAAGAAATAATTCTGGTTTAAAATCCATTTATATCTCCGTTATCTCCTGTATCCAATCTCTTATTCGTTCCCAATAATTTTTTGTTTTGGGGCACAGCCACCACATGTGATAAAATGTTCTTTCTCTGATTTTACATTTCCAACACTTCGGGTCTATATTTTTATACATTTTAGCCAATCTCGCCGGTGTTAAATGCCATCTGTAAATCATTTTATATTGATTCTCTCTGTATGCAGTTGATAGCGTCAATTTGCAATTTATGTTCCATAATCTTTCCCATTTCTCTAAATTTATATTTTGCCCCACATTTCATGCCCACGCTATCATTGGCCCCTTCACTATTTCTTCCTTTAACTCTATCTCTAATAAGTATTTATAAATTTTTGATAATAGTTTTCCTTCCTTCCTTATTAGAATTTCATCAAGTTGGTGTGGGGTCTGACTAATTCCATGTTCTTGCCTATCCCTATTATATCTAGATTGAATTTGTAAATACAGCCACCAATCTATGGGTATTCTTTGTTCCTCCAACTCTTCTCTTGACTTGAGATTTCCTTGGTTATCCAGTAATTCTTTATACCTAATCATCTTTTTTTTTCCTCTAATGTATTGGGATGAATAACTGCATCTATCGGCAAGAACCAATTTGGAATTTTCTCATAGTGTCTTTTTTTTATTTTTTCTCATATCCCGATCAATGCTCCTCTTATCTGATGTTACTGGAAATATGTTGATGTTTTCTTCTGTTTCCCCCATAGAAATGCAAAATGACTATTTAATAACAAGCTTCTGTGCATTTTGTTCTACAAAAATGAGAATTGCATAGTCAGGCGAAGCATAAATATGCATCAAGCCATAATCAGGAAGTTGCTGTTTAGTCATTCATTCTCTTTTGACATTGTGTAATTTGATAGACAGAATACTATGTGTTGGCAGCTGCTTGATTTCTTATAAGCTCATGCTTGTGTCATCAGCGCTAGTACTTAAGCCATCTCTGTTGACCATTTTTATTGCCTTTTTTCCCCAGTGACTTTTGCCTTTGGATTGCATGTTCAAAATATCTAAGCTTTAGCTTCATCCAGAGATCTTCCACAACGATACCTATTTTTGTTCATCACACACTGAATGATTTGTTCTTCTTGTGATCCAACGAATATTCAACTATTTTCTCAGCACAATTCAAAAACATCATTTTGTCATTCATTCAGCCTTATTGTTATGAAGTTTATAAGCCACCAGGTTCCCATGACTCTGGTGGTCCAGATTTCACAGCCAGATGTTACTACCAGTCTGTAGTCTCCATTTTAACACTCCATGTTAAGTCATTTGGCTTAACAAAACATGTTTTTTGAATGTTTTGTGCAACTAACCAAGAAACCAATTGTTTGAGAACCAATAAGACAAAGACATAACTTTACATAGTGTGATATGGGAAACTAACCTAATCTTCTCATTGATAAATATGCATCAATATGATAAATCTTCAGAGTCAGTTAAACCTACAATACAATGGAAACTAAATGAATAGAAGAACACAATTGGTGAGAGTCAGGAAAAGGTTAACATAAAGGAAGTAAGATAAACCATACAGGCAAAAATAGTTGGGTCTGAGAAAGGAAGAAGAGAAGCCATAAAAATATATATAGTTTGTAAAAGGAAATGGCTAGCCAGGAAAAGACAGGTTGGAGAATAGGAAAATAAGCTGAATAAGATAAGAGGAAAGGCACACTGAATTGAAAAGCAGGAAAAGAACTTATTGTTTAAAATGGGGACATAAATATCTACTGAGTTTAAAATAATTTAAATGTCTAATTTTTCTTATTCTTATTGTATATGTGAATATGATTTAATATGTTATCAGGAAATGTGTATAGGCGGTCAGAAAGAGTGTAACCTCATACTACCTCAGCCAATGGGGAAAGAGCAGGGATGTAGCGGCTGGTGATAGGGATGAATAAAAGAAGGAGATATTTTGGATTAAAACTTTGGAGAGAACCAAGCTTTGATAGCTTCTCTCCCCGTTTATTGCAATAAACGAAACAAAAGGCCTTCACTGTGTCTTGGGTGGTTATTGGTCAGGCGAGCTTGCCTCTGGTCAGGAAGGAAAGTAGCCAGGAGCACATAACATCTTTCTCACCTACCTTTTTATATTATGATTTATTGTTGTTTGTATCTTATGATTTATGATTGTATCTTATTCTATCTTCTATATTCTCTTCTCTTCTTAGATCATGATCCCTGGCATAATTTGGGATCATTTCTATTTATGCTTTGTTGGTCGCCTAATGAAGAGCACTGGAGGAGTCGAAACCTTGCCTACTTTTCTGGCCTTTCAGACTTGTCGATTCGGAAGTAAAAGTTTCACTTCCCCCATCTCTCCATTGCTTAGCAACCCAGCCGCACTTTGTTCTATTGGGAAGCTCTTGCTTTCGGTTTCATTTCTCCGGAGAGACAGAGAGAGAGAGAAAGAGGGAGCGAGAGCTGAAGAGCGGAGTCGGGTCTGACCTGAGGGGGTGGGACAAGCGTTCTTGAGAGGCGGGAATTCCGAGGAATTGAGCGTCCGGGGGGCTTGGCTCGTGGGGAAGAGGAAAGGGGTGGGGTGAGACTCTCAGGCCAGAATGGACGCGGAATTTGCCAAGGAAATCTTCCGGGGGGTGTGCGCCGCGGGCGGCTCTATGAAAGTCAGCGAGATTAAGGTCCGGCTGGATTCGGAGCGCCTGGCCTCGATTCTGCAGGATAAAATGAAATTCATCGTGGTCATCCGGGAGGACCCCCCCTCGGCGGCCAGCAGCGAAGACCACCGTGTTGTCGTGGCTACTACTGGGGCGCGGCTGTGCCGCGATCACGGCACAGGGAAGTGCGCCGGTGGCTGCCGGCAGCTCCACCTCTGCCGGTACTTCGTCTACGGGGGGTGCCGCCAAGAGGCCTCGAGGTGAGCCCGTCGCCCCAGCCGGGAAAGAGGAGGGGGGGTCGCTTCCGAGCGGGAGGGACTGGGGCAGTCTTGAAACCACCCCGTGGGGGGAGGGCAGAGGGGACCCGGATCTTGCTTTCCAAGGAATTGATTTGCCGGTGGAGGCGGCCGGATGTCCTCCGGGGAATTGCGGGAGAAAGGAATTGGTCCTAGAGCCGCCCAGCCTGGGAGACAATTTGCCATTTTCTAGGGGCAACTTCGGCAGAGCGGAAGGCGGGGGTGCCGGGTAGTTCGCGATTCTCATTCCAGATTCATTCAGGGGAATTTTGAAGAGGGCAACTTTGCATCTGAGGCTCCTCTTGTCCACCTGGCTAGAAAAGAAATGTTATGATCCTCTTTATGGAAGGAAGAACCCTGCAACTTTCCCTAGGGACGCTGCGCCCTTGGGAAGGATTTCAAACTCTGGTCTTTGGTCTGAAGGGAAACGGTGGGTGATTCCTCCTCAGATATTTTTCTTTGGTGGCTTTATACTTGTAAATAGAAGATGGTAGAGGACAGGAAGGCCTGGAGGAAAGTTGTCCATGGGGTCGCGATGGGTCGGACACGGCTTCGCAACTAACAACAACAATACTTGTAAATAGTGAAGCTGGGATAAATTTTATGTACCACCGAAATGAGACGTATAAATGGACTTTCCAATCCAGGTTTTCCAAAGAAAATGGCACCCTGTTCTATAACAGTGTTTCTCAACCTTGACAATTTTAAGGCATGTGGACTTCAACTCCCAGAATTCCACAGCCAGCAATGCAGGCTGTGGAATTCTGGGAGTTGAAGTCCACATGCCTTAAAATTGTCAAGGTTGAGAAACATTGTTCTATAAGATCCTGGGACCTTTCAGAAGGAAGCTACTTTTAAGGTCTTGTTCTTAATTCTCTGTTTCTGGCCATCCTGTTTACTCTTTTCAAGACTTAGTTGAAAAGGAAGTGGAAGGTTGTGCTTCTTTATCAGTTTGAAACAATGTGTTTCTCTGCTTAGGTACTGTAAGAACAGAATGAATAGCTCTCTAATAACAAGCTGCCGATTAGCATTTCTCAGTTGACTCCCCCATCATTCACCATTCACCTGTTTTACCAGATCCTTCATTTCCCCCTCCCGAAACTTTATTGACATTACAAAATTAGGATTTTAAAACACAATGTATCTAAAGCATTTATTAGCCAGAATCTTGTTGGAAGAAGCTTCCTAAACTTGCAGTCCCATGTACATCGAAAGCTCCGGTTTTTAAGTTTAATTTAAAAAGCACCTTGGAATTCCAGAAAAAAATAAAGCCAATTTTTCATATGAGGTCATCTGATAATTTGCTTGGATGTAGCTGTACAGATTGCTTAGCATGAAATGGAACTAGTCTGCCATTGCTTTCTTCCAGGATTATTATTGGTATTTTTGTTTCCTAGATTTTAAATTGCCATCTTTGGAATTCCCAGGAAGTCCCTAGCCTAGTCCAAGGGCTGACCCAGCTAAACTTTCATTATCAGCCTACGTGACACTTTCTGCTGTCTGCTCATGCCTATGAACAGTGTGTAGTTTAAAACTTAAATCTGGATACAGTTACAAACTATGTTTAATATTTTCAAAACTTTTAGGAAACCATGCAAGTTTATCCATGATATTAATACAGGCCACAACTTCTCTGTCCTAAAAGAACATGGTCTAGATATCTTAAACTCTGATGAATTATGTCAACTGCTGCTTCAGAATGAACCTTCACTCCTGCCTGAGGTGAGCTTATCACATACAATTGATGCTTGATAGGCAATAAAATTTCAGTTGTTGAAGATGTGGCCCCCTGAACCATTTTAATTTGCCCAAGAAATTCAATGTTGGGGAAAATTTCATATTTTACAGGTAGTCCTGAACTTATGACCACAATTGAGCCCAAAAGTGAGACAGTTGTTAATTAAGTCTTGCCTCATTTTTTGACCTTTCTTGCCACAGTTGTGAAGAAAATCACTGAAATTGTTAAGTTAGTAACACAGTTAAGTGAATCTGGCTTCCCCACTGACTTTGCTTGTCAGAAGGTTGCAAAAGATGATCACGTGACCTGTTGACACTGCAACCATCATAAATATGAAGTGCTTTCCAGGCATCCTAATTTTGATTAGGTGACCATAGGGTTGCTGCAACTGATTGTAAATCTGAAAACTGATAAGTCACTTCTTTCGCTGCCATTGTTACTTTGAGTGGTCAGTAAATGAATGTTTGTAAATCAAAGACTACCTGTATTAAGTGGCACTTTTAGAGACTATCACTGGCCTTTCCAGTGATAAATCAGTATTTCTATTTGGAGAGCCAGTTTGGTATGGTGGTTAAGGCACTAGACTAGAAATAGGGAGACCTTGAGTTCCAGTCTCACCTTAGCCACAAAGCAATTGGCTGACCTTGGGCTAGTCACTTTCTCTCACCCCTAGGAAGAAGGCAGTAGCCAAACATTGTGGCCAAATTGCCAAGAAAATTGCAGGAACATGTCAAGGCAGTTGTCAGGAGTTGGCTGACTTGAAGGCACCAAAAGAAAACCAAAGCCAAAACCAAAATGGTCTCAGTTATTGGGCTTAATATTTTTAATTTGGTTTAATCTTGTTTTCAAAACCACTATTGATAAGTGGAGTATAATAATCTTCCAAATAAATGAAGACCAATTAAGGGTACAGCATAGCTAACTTTATAATAGACATGGTTTATGCAGTTGGATTCCTTTAATAAGGCAGTGGGAAATTACCATTGAATTGTCTGAATGGGCATTTAGGAAGAAAGAGATTTATTAATGCAATTGGTGGTCATAGGTGGGAATAGAATTTTATATACTAGTCTTGAGTTAGGATGGTTCCTGGTTCCATTTCTAAATCTCTCTGGAGATGCTTTAATCCATATTCCTTGTGAACATTTAGGCATAATTGTGTATTACATCTTTGCTTGGCTAGAGATAGACTAAATATATCCATTAGCTTCAAATATACCCATATAATATTCTTATCTTTGCTAGATCTGTCCATATTACAACAAAGGAAATGGGCCTTATGGATCATGCACCTTTAAGAAGATCTGTGTTAAACTTCACATATGTCAGTACTACCTCCAAGGAGAATGTAGATTTGGGAGTAACTGCAGACACTCTCATGATATTTTTAATCCTGAATGTTATGAGAAGCTGGAGAAGTGGGGGATGAGCCAAACTTTGATTAGTAAAATTCCATTGATCTACAGGAATGTGTATGACATAAAAAACAACACATCTTCAAAATACAGAGGTAAAATACTTTACCCTATTTGAAAACAATACAACAGCCGTTTCCAAATTGATGCCCTCTGTGTTGGGAGTACAATTTGTAATTTTCCTGGTGTGCCAATTGGAAAGCAGTAAGTTGGGAGGGTTGCACTGTCAGAATCACCTCTGCTTAGTTTTATAGCAATTAGCTGCTTTGCGATTAAGGAGCTTTGCATTGGGATAACTCAGACTTAAGTCTGACATTCTCCCAGATGTTTTAAGATCACTATTATTTATCAGGGAGGTGTGCAAAGATTACATCTGTCCACTTTGCATTACATGGCCAGCTTGGTCCTCTCTGAAAATAGAGAAGATATAGTTGGTTCTGTGCTTTCTCAGCTGTGATGTAAAAACTTCAATTATAACATTGGAAACAGTATTAAATAGACTGCATTTAGCTACTTGCCCATTAGGATTGCATAGTTGAGTTTTAAATAATTTATGGGAATATAAACATTTGGGAAGTTCATTTCTGTCTGCTGCATGATTAATCAGCAGTTACCAGTTGTTCTTTTTTTAAGTCAAATTATAAGCCCTTGTTTAAGGATGGTAATTGGGACTGGAATTGCTATAGCTAAGGAGTGGAGTCATAAAATGTGTCAAAATGTGACTGCATCACTTAGCAATGGTAGTTCCAGCAGTCTCCATTTCTGTTGCTGAGAGAGGATAACAGGTTGTTAAATGAGGATTTTTGGTGACTTCCTGATGGCTTCTAATAAACAAAATCATTGAGGAAGCCATCTGGAAGTCCCAGGTGGCTTGCAAGTAGGTCAGTGAGTGGAAAAGTGCTATGATGCGGTGTAAGTGCAGCCAGATAGGGGAGTGGCTGTTGCCAGGTGGAGTAGTACTGCACAAGCATGGCTGGGAAGCCATTGTGTGCTAAAGAGTGTATGTGTGGGATACTGTGGGCAGAGGTGTGCTACAGTAGGGGTCCCCAACCTGTGGGCTATGGGTCAATACTGGGTCGCAGTCCGTTTGAAACTGGACTGTGCAAGTAATGGGCAAGCACACGTGTGTGCATGCAGCTCCACTCATCAAGTGGCAGGCAAGCGTGCACATGCAAAGCTGCACTTGTGTGAGAGGAGGGCATTTATGCTCGTGCGCAAAGTTCCATTCACAAGTGAAGGTGCTTGAGCAGAGAGCGCTTTTGCTCACTTCCTCTCACTTCGCAAAGCTCCATCTGTGCAAATGGAAACGCAAAAACCTCTCTCCATGGAACCAGTCCCTGGTGCTGAAAAGGTTGGGGCCGCTGACATAGGTTTAGTATCTTGGGAGTTCTGATCCCGCTGTCATTCTCATGGAAGCAGTATTCTGGGACTATGCTCCCATAGTCTTCAGAGAACGGGTCCCAGGTTGATAAGCCTATTAAAACTGGATGAAGGTTGTCAATAACTCTTCTATTCAAACCTTATCTCACTGTGTGGATAGAATATTTTGAGCATATCAATCATGTGAAATTCTCAGAAGTTCATTCATGAAAGCACTAAATGGATTTGTTTTATTCTACAAAAGACAGTACCATGGTACCTCAATACGTTAATTAGTTCAAATGATGAGTACCAAACAATTTTTTCCCATAAGTAATAATATAGTAAGTCACAAGGCAGCCAACACCAACAAGTTCTAGCTTATGCGTTGAGTACCAAACAAACGAGTACCAGGACAAACCTTGCATCAAAATGCATTGAGTACCAAGTTCGATGATTTCCAAAGCAGTTGAGTAAGAAGGTACCCCCGTATTTACATTTTATTGGTGACTGGAAACCCCTATAGGCCTTTTGATTAAAAAAAAAAACCTTATGATGTATGGTTTTGATGATTAAATAGGATAGATTATAGATTATAAAATGAAGAGAGCCAAGATATAATTTTAGAGTGAGTAGTTAAAAAAGTATAACTGCTGTGAAGAATATCTGAAGCCACTTCTTTATATCTTTTATTTTTTCCTATATTTCTGCTACTTTTTTTCTTTCTGGACTTTTAGGTTTTTCTTTTTTTCCCCTTTATGCTACTTCTTTTCTTTTTTCTTTTAGTTTATATTAGTTTTTATTATAGTTAAAACTTTCAATAAGAAAATTTTACAGAGAAAAAATAGTTTATTCATTACCACATTATTTGTTTTAATCATGGTTTGCTGACTGGCCTAGTTGATTGGATAAACCATCATGATACATGAACCAAAGGGACTGGATTCACATCCCATGCTAAGATAAGACCAAACTGCATTATAATTTCAGGCAAATTTCTCTTGATTATTTGTGCTTGTAAAAGAGGAATCACAACTGTCCTTGCTGCAAACAATTTATAAGTTAAGGATTAGAGGATATATTGCATGAAACAGTACTTTTATTACTGATATTAAAAAAATGTTAGGTCTTGAAATGCTGAGAGAATCAAAGGGGGTGCAGCTCACAAAAGTTTTTTGTGCCTGTTAGATAATACGTTTATCGAAAAGGTGCTTTGAACTCCTCTTATTTTGCCACCCTAGACTAACAGAGCTCTCTTCTTATGGAGTCTTCATGAAATCAAGAAATCCTCTTTGAAGTCATGCTCCCACCCATAGCCTTTTACCCACAACTTCTACCTGTCTTTGTAATTCTAGAGGTGATCTGAGTACTTATTTCTTCCCTTGAGGGAGATCAGGAGAATTGGAGGAAGTTAAAATCATACTTTTGTCGTCTTGAGTCAAAATATATACTTCATTTTTCCTTAGAGAGAAAAGAAAACCAAGTAGTGTCCACCACAGACATTGATGAATCAGATATGATTTGCTTGTACCACATTAGGAAAAGTTGTAGCTTTCAAGGTAAGTGGGCTAAAACCAGTTGGGTCAAGAGTTCCCTGTTTTTGATATGTGAATGCTACTATTTCTCACCATATCCTTAGAATCGTGGAGTTAGATCATTTAGGCTGAATCCAATCCTTGTTCAGTACAGAAATCCAAAATAAAGAATCTCTGGATTGATGGCTCTTTGTCTCTATCTGTATGGAGACTACCACCATTCAGAAAAATCCCTTGTCAATCTGGTCTTGGGTTTGGGTATTTTCAGATACCACAAAATTGACCTTTTGCTTCATTTCAGAACAGCTTAGCTGTAGACCACAAGACTTCTTTAACTCCACCCACTAGTACAGTGCTTTCAATAGAAGAAAAAAAAGGTATTAATTTCACATTTGGGAAAAGTAAGGTTGTCATCTTGCTATTATGACTTACATGAGAATGAATAAGAACTAGATCTACCTTATTTAGGCTGCAAAGATCTGAACTAATTATTCAGCAAAGAATTATGAGGGCTTTTGGTTCTTTTCTTTGTAGCTCATTTTGTAGCTCTCTTAGAAACTTGAGGTCCGATCTATAATACCTTTAATGATTTCTGATATGTACTAAAACCAAGCAATTAATATGCAGCAGATGTACTGTATACAAGTATGTGCAAAAGAGAAAATAAAAGGTCTAAAAATGGAACATTTGCAAGGGGCTCACCACCCTGAATCCCTGGCATTTTCATCAGTACAAATTCCCTAGCATTTCTCTTGAAAAGTATCTTAATGGTTCATGAATATAATGCAATATAATATGGGTTTGTTTATTTAGATAAGTGTACCCGAATTCACTACAATTTGCCATATAGATGGCAAGTTTTAGATCGTGCTTTGTGGAAAGATATGGACAATATGAAGAAAATTGAAAAAGCCTACTGTGACCCAGGCAATGAAAGGTATAAATATAATAATAATTGTTCTTATAACATGTTTTTGTTTGACTTAAACTGTATTGATACTATTTTGCTATCTTTTTCTACTTTAAATATTTTAATACACGTTTATCTGTTTTTTAATGGTTTGCCTATTATCGTAATATGTAGAAGTGACATGTAATATTATAATATAGGCTTCCTGTGTAAATTAGTAGTGTGTAGTGTTTTGATTCTTGATGAATGCCTGGACATAATCCATGCAGTTTTCTTGGCAACATTTTTGGAAGTGTTTTTGCCATTGCCTTCTCTCTCTGACTTCCAACTGGCATAAATCATATAATCAAAATGTGCAATTCTTGAAAACTCTGATCATACATAAATCCCATATTGTGCTACTCTGTTTCTGGATTTACATTTACTGTAAATGCACCATAATTAGGGTACAAGTGGGTGAGAAAAGCTAAATCTTTCCTCTCAAGCTTCTTTATTTGCAAAATGTTCCTCTCCAGTAGAGTTTCATTATATTTGCTCAGGAATATATTAAAGAATCTTGGGGAAAACGAAGGTTTCTCTCTTTCCATATGCAGATCATAATCGGGATTGGGCTGCTATGTATTTACTGTAAATAGAATCTGAAAGTGGATTATGTGCTTCAGATAATTCAACTTTTAGACTCATATAAGTTACACTTAAGATCTTGATGAAATCAGTGCAAATTTATTTTTGAGTTTTATCAATGAGACTGAATTTCTCCTTTCTCTTTTTTTTGAATTTGAAAAGATGGAAGAATGAAAATAATGGAAGGGGAGATTTTCAAACATTTGATTAAAAAAAAAAGCCTAATACTAATAAGAGTACTTACTATTAACCTGGTTCTATCCAAGGTTTGAGAATTTTAGCACTTAAAGCTGTACCACTGAAATGGAATATAAAATAAGTTAATATAGCTTATAAATATAAAAAATGATACAAGCCTTTCAGTTGCTTCTTGCTTAGGTATCATAGATATGGTCTCTTTTATGACTATAATACCAGCTACTTATTATTCTGGCTTTACAATGAGGTTCTGAATAAGGTCATATGCTTAGTGACTGCTGTAGTGGTGAAACACTTTATGTTAAAACAGTGCATTTTATAAATAATTTTTCCTTTTTTTTAAAAAAACTTGTTTTTTGGTGACATGTTCAAGGAATAATTGTTTCAATTAAACTTTGTATTCCTTTGGATTTCTTCTTTAGCAGCTTTATTTTTGAAAGCTGTCCATCTTTTTCCTAGATAAAAAAGATTTCATTAGATTTGTTTTTGGGATTGTGCTCCTGGGTAAAGCTTATTTTGAGTGAAAGCATTCTTGTCCTAAATTAGCTTCATTACCCTTAGAAATTTAACATAAGAAATGTGATACAGTCACTGTTGTAAAGGATTGAAAGCTAAAAGTTTTCTTTCCATGCAGAAAATACTTCTCACTGTTCTAATATATTTTTCTAGTTTTTATAAAAGGACCATTAAAATAGAACAGCGATAGTGAATCTTTTGGACTCAGCATGCCAAAAATTCAGGAAATGGTAACTTGACTCTGTTGGCATGTTACATACAAACACACACACAAAAAACAATTGTCTATCTCCCCCCCCCCCAAATCTAGACCATCCTGAACTGTTGCTCTTAGCATTGGATATTGGTGAACGCTGGTGTGCCATCCAAAATGTTGTGGTATATCACTTTTGAAGGCATGCCATAGCTCACCATCACTGAAATAGAAGATAGAACAATCCTTTTTTTAAAAAAAGTTATAACTTTTTAAAATCCCATTGTTCCACAGTATATTCCATTTCGGAGGACCGGAACAGTCTTTATTCATGCAATCTATCAATTTCTCCAGTATGACATGGGGCTCTGCTAAAATTAGACGGCTTTCCACAGCATCTTCAGTGACCAAGCCTCCATACTATATTCTTACAACAGATTGGATCTGGTACTGGAAGGATGAGTACAATCTATGGATCGAATACGGAAAGCAAGTAAGTAAACCTTGTCATCATGCTGTCATCTTCTGTATGCTGTATAGAAGGTTTCTCAACTTTAGCAAGTTTAAGATGAGTGGACTTCAACTCCCAGAGTTTCCTCCCCAGCCAGCCAGAGAAACACAGCTGTGTAGTATCCTAATAAGTTTGATACCTTTAATAATAATCCAGTTGACCTTCCTCTTTTACTACTAAATTAATGCAACATATAAATATCCTACCTGGTCCTTCATAAAATGAATCAGAATAGATCTGTGTAAAAGCAGCACCTAGATTAGTTACAGGTGGTCCTTGACTTACTGCACAACCATTCATTTAGTATCCATTCAGAGTTACAACATATTTGATTGGTCCTCATGCTTACAATTATTGCAGCATCCCCATCATCATGGGATGATAATTTGGGCACTTGGCAACTGACATCTATTTAGAATAGTTGCAGCATCCTGGGGCCATAAGATCGCCATTTGAGATCTTCCCAGCCAACTTCCAACAAGCATAGTTAATTGGGGGAAATTGGATTGTGGTGACTTGCTTAACAATTGTGTCAAAAAAAGATCATAAAATCAGGTGCAACTCACTCAACAACCATCTTGCTTATTAGCAATGGAAATTCTGGTCCCCATTGTGGTTGTAACTTTGTTTCCTAAACAGAAAAGTAGTGAAATTAAGACACAGCAGTACAAAATGCAAACTTTTATAACGAGAACAGAATAAAATCAATATCAAAGTTTTTTAAAACACCAAACGAAAAGGTGTTGGGAAGATAAGGGAACAGACTTCAACACTCATAAACTTTAGTAAAGCAGCCAATAAAAATGAAATTCTATCACAGGTTGGTGTTTACTGCAAGAGGGAACACGCTGAGTTTAATTTCATTTTAGAATAAATATTCTAATAAATTATGGGTATCAGGAAAGCCTGATGATACAAATGGTATGCAATATTTGGAGCATCAGAAGAAAGGCCATCACGTCTGTAATTAAAATATGCTGGTTGGTACATGCGAAAATAGACATGGATCCAAAATCTCTGGCTGTTAAATTTCAGTCTGGACAATGCTAGAAATAAATGGGTAGCTGGTAAAACTGCTTCTCAGTAGCTGGTCTCATTTGTTAATTCTTGTTTATTGAAGCCAGAAGAAAGGCTCGACCACTTCTAATTAGGAGACAGGGCTTAAGATTTCTTTCTCTTCCAGGGAAGAAAGTTTCTGTTCAGTCTATAGCTCTCTATTCTTTCATGGAGGAAGGATTGAAGGTTCAGGAAGAGTAGATTTCACCTCCAGCATTGAGAAGAAAATGGGGCAACCCCTTGCACTGATTGTTACTTGCAAAAGAGAAGTAGAGCTGGGACTAAGCAGCAAATACATTATGCAGACTGACAATTGATTTAGATTCTCCTCCAGGAACAATGTGGCCACCCTCATGTGCATCACTTCTCTCTATAGTTATATCTTGGCTTCCTTCTTTCCAAAGCTGCTCTTTCCAATTGGCAAACTCATAAATCACAGATTATTTTTTCCTGTTTTCAACAAAAAGTCCATAAAGGGCTTCCAGTCACTTATGAATACAGTTGTTGTCTTTTTCCTAATTAAATAAGTCAATTTTACCATTTCTGCAAATTCTGTTATTTTCACCAACTATTCCTCCATTATGGGTATTCCAGAGTCTTTTTGCATATAATCTCACTGCAATTACCATATACAAAAACAATCTTTCATAAGACTTTTCAAATTGTCTATCCATTAGTCACAGAAGTTTTTTTCTGGTTTCAGTTGAACCGGAAAAGTTTTTATATTAATAAAGTTAATAAATCTGAACCCCAAATATTCTGCCTTTTTTACAACTCCACCAATAAAATGACCCGTCATGTTTTCAGCATTTCCAACATAAATTTGAAGCCGCCTTAAACAGTCTAGATATAGATAAGTCATTCTAATTCTTAAGAAAATCCAAATTCAAAGAACCTAGATTTTTCTGGAGTGATGTGCAAATGCTTTTGTTTGGTTCTGTGGTACCAGGATGATCATCATGCTGCTGCTACTATATCCAGCTTTGACTTGGAGAAAGCCTACCAGTCTGAAGCATTTACGACACTCAAGTTCTCAGCTGGGACACAGAATTATGAGATTGATTTTAAAGGTGTGTTTTCCCTCTTGTATCAGCTGAGTTGTTTGGAAATATCACCAGATAAAAATCAATGTTGATCTGCCTTGGCCACAATATTTAGTTCCTTTAGCCTAATATTGTCTATTAGGAAGAATTCTCCGTCTGATTAGAAATCAAGCAAATAATTTTTGTATTATTAAACTTGGATATAATTAAGTTATCATATTAAGTTGGTGGTTCTTAAACTGTTTCCCCAATGCCCTTTTCCTGGGCTTAGGATACCTAATACAGTATTATTATACATCACAAAAAAAAAACCCTCCAGACTCCCCTGTTTTATACAAGTATTGTGGCAGTGGCTGTCCTGAACTTCAAACAAGCAATTATAAATTGCTCCATTAGCAATAGCGCTTAGACTTTTATACTGTATCATAGTGCTTTACAGTACTCTCTGGGAGATTCACAAAGTCAGAATTATTTGCATATTACCCCTATCAATTTGGGTTCTTATTTTACTGACATCAGAAGGATGGAAGGCTGAGTCAACCTTGAGCCCCGTTAGGATCAAACTCCAGGCTATTGGCAGAATTAGCCTGCAATACCACATTCAAATACTGTGCCACCCGAGATCCTTACCCTTACTCATTACCTCTAAGATATGCTCAAATTGCCCCCAGTTTAGTAGTAAAATTGAGTAAGATTACCTTGTGATAGAAGGCAATTTGTCTTCGTCACAAAGGTGCTGGCTGTGATTGAATGACTATGCACCTGGCTTAAACATAGCTGATTAAGGTTGAAAGCTATTTTGTAAAGTCCCCAAAAACCACTGTAGAATCTGTCAAATCAGTGTAAATTGCTGGTGAATTGTACATCTCTGTTAATCAGGTTCAACTGTTTTTGATCATTTTCTAGGCCCAAGTTCGTGGATAACAGCATCCAAGCTTGTAACTCCTAAACAAGGGAGTTCTGTGGATTTCTGATTGAGTGGTTTTGCTTGACAAATAACTTTGATCTTTAAAGCATTAATATAATTTGGAATCATGGTTGTATAAGAAAGGGAATAAGTTAATGTTAAATTTAATTACAGCGGCTAGGTTGTTAGTAGGGCAATGTTGGAAGAAGGAACCTTTGCCCACTTTGCAAGAATGGTTTTTTAAAGTTTCTTACTTAGCGGAGATGGCAAAGATTTCGGCTTTCTTGAAAGATCAATCGCAAGAGAAGTACTTTTTGGTATGGAAAAGATGGATAAATTTTATGCAATATAAGTATGATATAAAAAATATTATTTAGTTTTTGAATAATTTATATTTAAAGTTTAAGATATCTTTTTAGATATTCTTTTCTTTTTTAAATTTTTTTTCTTTTTTCTTTTTTTTTCTTGTTTCTTTTTTTTCTCTTTCTGCTTTCTAAATATTGGTGTTAAAGTTTTTCATAATTTGTTTAATTATTGTAACTAAATTTGTATATGGTTTATTTGTGTTTAAAATTTTTTCTTTTAAATTTTAACTAAGCCTGTATTCAGCTCTGGGAAGGTTGGGGGAAGGTTGGGGTGGGTTGGGAGGGTTTGGGGAAGGGAACTTTTCTGTAAAATTTTAAAAAATTTTCAATAAAAAAAAAGAAAGGGAATAAGTAAACGTGGGCCTTTTAATGTTTTAGTTAATAAAAGAGATTTTTGAATATAGTAAGGAGTTTTCAGATAAGTAATAAGGCTAGGTCACCATGACTTTCCACTTGATTTTAAGAATAGATTTTTATTTGCACCAATTTTCAATTAAAAATGAAATTGGAAACTTGGTAGGTCAGATCTGTGGGCAGAAGAGGGTTTAACATGCCTTGGATAAACAATCTTTGGGGCCAAAAGAACATTTGATATTTTGTAGGCAGAAGGATGCCTACAAAACATATAACATGTAAGAATTCCAAAAGAAGCTAGAGAACAAAAATGGGACTCTTTGGCAGATTGATGTCAGTGGTTAAAAAAAGATAGTAGCAGCCATTATTGTATTGCTCATTATCTGGTCTAGATAAGGACAAGTTTTGTTCTGCCTAATGTTTGACCTTCTTAGAATCCTGCTAGGTCCTAGACAGACTTTGTTTTCATTCTTAAGACACAATTCAATGTTTTGAGGGATATATATGTGGCATTTTTCAGCCATGAAACAGAGAAACCTAAAATATCAGACGGAAAGAAGTGTTTGTAGACGGCCTAAGTTTGTGTCTACAGAAGAAGTGGAGAAAAAGAAAAGCAGGTGGGTAACTAGGATATGTGTGTGAGGGGGGGAAACGTGATAATTTGATTTGTAATTTGGAAAGTATATATGTGCTTATGTATGTGTCTAGATCTCCAGAACATTCTGTTTTTCCTTGGGATTCCATCAGCCCAGAGTGGTACATTTTGCAAATCATCCTGATTGATTTCCCTAATCTGTTTTCTGTCAGAGATACTGGTCCAACACCAGTAAAATTCCTAGCAAGTTATAAATTCTATGGAAATTGGACGGGGGGCAGAAGCTTGAGGAAGGCCAGTATAAGGCAAAAAAAGAGAGAACCAAAATGACTATTATATGATGCAACTGCTATCTGCATGTCCTGAAGAGAGCCCTAGTATAGAGGTTAAAGTTGAATAATAGATACTGGAATTCAAGGATATCCACCGGATGTGGTTAAAAAAAGTTCTAGATGGCAGTCTAGATGGTGTGATCAAAGTTTTGCCTGGTTTTTTTAATGTGTATTTTGTGTGGGGATCAAACTAAGTGTTCTCAATGAAGACCAAGAATAAGGGGAGAAGTTCACTTACACATCACTCAAAGTATTGCTGGTTGCTTCAATTTCCCCTCCTTCATTCAACTTATAGGTGTTCTTAACACTCGCTTCAAAGTCGCAGTCTGAATCAGAATTCTTTGACTTTGCTTGATGGTCAATTTTTTTTCTTTGCATTATATATAAGAGAGTGTCGGTTAATTCTGCAATCTTTTTATTTACAAGCAGAACAAAGCAATCAAAGGAAAGTGCTACACACATTCCACCTCACTGGGACCAATCAGCTTTACCAGAACTGGGATACAAGGTAGGTTTCACTAAACTAGGTAGATGGTTCTGTATTCCTAGGGCAGTCATTCGAGTCAGAATGTTACATAACGTGTGTCTGTCTGTGTGTGTGTTTGTGTTTTAAGTCAGGCGCTGTGCATAGTGGTATCATAACAAATAGACAAATGGCTATTCTTCTGGAATGCAAATGCTGGTGTTTCATCCTTGGCAAGCTCTGGTTTTATAGCCGATCATTATTCAGATTTTCATAATCCTTTATTTTAAATGTTTTGTTTGAGTTCCTTGATACATGTTTTGAGGAAGTAAGAAGTTTTTATTCTACCTCTTCCTCTGTGTGAAGGTGTATGAGAGAGTGTACTCTAATAAAATATAAATTAACAGTCCAATAAATACCAGCAATGGAAAATTTCATATCGGCAACAAAAGTCATATCCAGTAACGTTAACAATGGTGGCTTTACTTTTTCAATTAATTCTTCTTCTGCAATTTCCATCTCTATAAAATAAGGAAGTAAGGTAGCTTGATGATAAGTAGGTTACAGAGAACAAGGAATGAAATTGGTGGCTAAGGTCAGAATTAAGAGTCAATATACTGTGCTGGAAAGACTGAGGCTAAAGGCTCATTCATTTGGGAAGGATGCTTACTGAATGATTTGAGGCCAATCTACTTGATTTCTGGCCCAATCAATATCATGGGGTTGATGTTAGATTGAAACTGAAGTGAGAGTCCTATATAAGGCAATTAACCATGAAATAAGCAACACTGGGAGAACTCAGAATAGGCGCAAGCTGGATCAGATGTTCTATAACAGTGGTTCTCAACATGTGGGTCGGGACCATTTCACGGGGGTCGCCAAACAACGCAGTCCGCCATTTTTTTCCCCTTTTCCTTAGCTGTGCTACTCTCTTTTATTCTATTGGCTTTTGAAAGTCAATAGAATAGACTCTCTTGAATAGAGTCTAATTCTATTGGCTTTCAAAAGCCAATAGGAATTGTCCAGGCTGTCTCTGCCCTGCTGAGCCCATTGCCCACCATGCAACGGTGCTGCACCAGTTGAGTAGTCCTCGACTTACGACTGGTTGAGTAGTCCTCAACTTACGACCGGTTGGGGGTCGCGGCATTAAAAAGGTTGAGAACTACTGTTCTATAACTTCAGTTAGACAGCAATTGCTAAGCCCTTAAGAAGCAAGAACTTGTTAGAAAATTTATGTGATTTTTCTACTAGATAGTCAATAGACAGAGAAAGGAAATTCTCAATTCTCTGAGAGTTCAGATCTTTTAACTTCTTGAACCAGACAGAGATTTTCTTCTTGCTATTTGAAGTGCTATTCAGCATCAGGATTAAATATTGACACTGATTAAAAATACCATTGTAAGAGGAATATGCAGGATGGCTCATAGTCCTAATTTGATCATCCTTGGGAAGTATACTCAAAGAGTATGAAGATGATTCAACACATAGATCTAAGTCTTTTCTATCTCATCTCTCCTGATCAGTGAATGCTTAACGAATCTGTGACTTGTTTTGCTTGGTAAGTTAGGGCAGATAAATTTCCCTCCCATATTTGAGACCCATGTTTATAACCTTTTTTCCCCTTTGCAGCTGATCAACCTCCTTCTATCCTCCAGTGAGTACATAAAAGTCCAGACTAATTTTCAGCGCACACTGCCCAAGGCCACAATATTGACCATCAAAAGAATCCAGAATGTGTCTCTTTGGGAAGTTTATCAGTGGTACGTGCAAACCGGCTCCATTGTTGTCATTGGCTTCTCTGAAATTGATTTTTTTCAAAAGCTTCATGTTTCTGTTGCATAGCAGAATGCTGGATTAAAGGAGAATGCTTTCTTGGAAGAATTTCTCAGTGTTATTTAAATTCAAAGTATTGAGGGTTGATCATGGTTGTATTTCCAGGGAGCAGAGAATTTAACTCTTACTCTTTGGGGGCTACTCTCTGATGGGCACCTAGCTCATTATCTGGTTGAGAGCTTCTGTCTTCATGTATAGTGGTTATCTTAAGTTCCTGGAATATAAATAGAGTTCCTTTTATATGGCAGAATGTTCATTTTCTTTGACATTTCTTTTCCCCAGTAATGTAAAAGCTTTCCTTTATCATAGTACAAATGTTGCTTATTGCAGGGTTTTTCAACCTTTTCACCCATTGTACCACTTTTAGGATATGGCAACATCCGAGTACCACCAGTCGCCTAGCAAGGTGTCAAAAACTTGATAAAGTTTTCCCCCCCCCCCAAAAGAGAAAAAAGTGATGAAGTACAGGTCGTCCTCAACTTACAACAGTTTGCTTAATGACTTAATGAAGTTACAATGGCACTTAAAAAAGTGCCCCCCCCAGCCACAGCTGAGTAAGAGACCTGCTTGCCCACCTGGTGGCGCTCTTCCTCCTGTCCGAGGTTTTCATTGTTGTGAGCATTTCTGTTGAGGATTGGCACGGGGGTGGGATGGGGGGTGTTTGGTTTTTATTCCCCCCATCTGCTGGGTGATTGCAGCAGGTTTTGGTCACTTCACATGGAACACTGTGACCATCATAAATGTGAATGAGTTGCCAAGCATCTAAATGTAAATCACAAGACCCTGGAGATTCTGCAACATTCCAGCTGATTGGTGCTTCTTCTGGGCTTAGCAGAAGCGCCAGGATCAGCGCCGAGCTCCAGCTGGAGCCTGGCGCTGATCCTGGCGCTTCCACTGAGTCCTGACAGCCCCAAAGAAGCGCTGGTCCTGGTGCTTCCACTGACCCCTGACAGCCCTGCAGCTGCAGCCATCTCTCGCTCAGGCTTGTGCAGTGCTGCTACTGGTTTAGCTCATTCCCCTCCCCCGCTACCACTTTTCTAGGATGGTCACGTACCACCTGCCAGGTGCCAATGTACCACAGGTGGTACCCGTACCACTGGTTGAAAAGCCCTGGCTGATTGGACCTAAGTGGAAAATCCATTTGTTAGTTGTAAAATGAGGAATCCATTATCATGGCTAAGGAAGACTTGGCGATGTTAGCTTAGAACAACGTTTCACAATCTTGGCAATGCCTGGACTTCAACTCCTAGAAAATTGTGGAAGTTAAAGAACTGAAGAAGTTTCTTGGATGACATCTTCACAGAAAAAAACAAGAAAGTCTAGCTGTTTTTTCAAAAGCACCTTTGGGATCTGGATGATTGTGAATCTCCATAGACATGTGGGAGTTAATGTTCATACATCTTGAGTTGAAAAACACTGACTTAGATTAAGGAGAACAATACATGGGTCTACTACTTGTTGCAAGTAGAGAGAAAAAGAGCTCTGTAAGCAGAGAAGGAGCCTGCCAGGGTACATATTGAAGACTTGGAGGGAAGACATTTTTCTTTAAAGATATTTTCTGAACAAAACCTTCCTTTGTAAATTATGCATAAAGGAGGTAAGATGTGAAGGGAGCAGGTCTGGGTTTGGAAACACTTCAAATCAGAAACCAAGCTAACATATAAAAATATTTGATTCAACTTCAGTTTTCAGAATTTTATGGAAACAATAATCACTGAGAAAATAAATTGTATGTTCTGAGTTTCAATGTCTCCTTCGCACCCTTTTTTGTTTGATACATTGGAAAACAAATGGTAGAATATATAGCTTTCTTTATTTTACCCTAGCATGATGTAGCAATATTCCCCCATCAATATTTCATGGAAATAGTATCTTTGTGGATCTTTCTAGTCCAAATAGAAAGCTGTTCTGGTCTTCCTGTCACACTATCTGTGTATGGGCAGGAAAAAGGTATATGCAGAGTGGCCTGGAAGGAGCTCTTTTTGATTTGTTAGTCAGATTGTCTTGATCTCCCATGTAACTCCTGGAGTACAAAGAGAATGAAACATTTTTGTAGTGGAAGGGAAAATTAAAAGGAAAGACTAGTGCCAAGGAGGAGTCATTTTAAAAAGAGGAGCAGGACATTGAAACAGCAGTTTTTCCATTACAAATTTCTCCTCACTTAATTCTGTAACTTGAGGCAATTAATTATGGGAGGAAGAATTAAATCATGAAAACTTACAAAGAAATAAGATATGTACAGTATTTGCAGAATGTTTTTCAGCTGTAATAGTTCCCTATTGGGTTTTAGTAAAATACATTTGATTGACTAGTTAAATATCTCTTAACTTGTCTTTTGATCATTAATAGACAACGTATAAAAAAGCCAAAACAAAATGAAAAAGCTTCCAGAATTAGCAGACCTTTTAGCACCTAAAAACTAGTAGACACTAGGTGGGATCCACATGCTCCCAATCTCTTGAGTATTAGCTTAATCTCAGTAAGCATGGCTCAGCTCTTTGGGTAGGGTTCAAATACATTTGGCTAGCAAAATGTTGGAGGCGGCTAAGTCTGACTAGGAAGATGATCAGAATATGCAAAATAGAAAACTCTACTCTTTCAGTAATTTAGCTCCTGACGTCTCAATTCTAAAGACTATATGTACTGAGACATTGCAAGCCACAGATGCCGCCACATAAGTGAAGAACCCAGCTTCTCTTATGGAGTCTACCATCCACTAGAACAAGATATCATTAACAGCAATGTTTCTAAATCTCAGAAGCTCTAAGATGTGTGAACTTCAGTTCCCAGGATTTCCTAGCTGGCTATGCTGACTGGGAGTTGAAGTTCATGTATCTTAAAAGGTGCTGAGGTTGAGCAACACGGATTAAGAGACTTCAGTATCTAGGATAGGATACTTAGTATCAAGTATCCCCTTGCCAGTTCCTATTTTATTTTTCCATGATCATATTTGTGTCATTTTTTTTCATGTTTATAGGCAGAAAGAGCAAATGAAGAAGGCAAATGGGGGAAAGGATGTAGATGAAAGGTCTCTGTTTCATGGAACAAGTAAAAACCATGTTGATGCTATCTGCCAGCAGAATTTTGATTGGAGGATCTGTGGTGTTCATGGTACGGCTTATGGCAAAGGTAACTTTTATTGTGTTTTGTGCGCAATAATTTAATTGAAGTTGATACACTTCCTATACTTCTATACCATCTATTTGGACTGAAAGTGGATGGGGAATTCTGACCATCCAGATGTTGTTGAATTGGGTTCTAATACCTGTCTTCAATGATAACATTGGTTGGAAATAATGTATGTTGACATTTAACATATCTGAAGGGCATCTAGTTAAAAAAGGTTGTAGTAAAATATTTAGCAGAAAAAACCCTCTGCCCTAGATACAGTATGTGTAAAACCTATCATTCAAAGTGTGGAAGGTTCAGTTCCTTCTTTGAATTATGCTGATCCAGCTGTTTTGGGGCGGGTCTGGCCCCGCTTAAGAACATAAATGATTTCAAAATTTAATATTAGATTTATTTGCTGCATTTATATCCTGGTACCAGGAGGTTAGGCTGGCACACATCATCTTTTTCTCCAGTTTTATCCTCATCAAGGTGGATGGAGTTGAGATGTAGGGACTGGTCCAAACCAGTATGGATTTGAATTTTGGTCTTCCCAGTCCTTGTTTGGCATTAAAACCACTAAATACACTATATCCACCTGTTGAATTTGTAGAGTGGCCTCTTTTGCTTTATGTCTTTCTTCTTTATAGGAAGTTACTTTGCAAGGGATGCTGCATATTCTGATAACTACAGTGGAGTCAATTCTTCTATCAAGATCATGTTTCTCGCCAAAGTATTGGTGGGAGATTTTACAAACGGCTGTTCTTCCTATCTCCGCCCTCCCGCCAAAAATAACCAGAGCAATCTTTTCTATAACAGCTGCGTGAACAGTCTCCTGAATCCATCCATTTTTGTCATTTTTGAGAAGCACCAGATTTATCCAGAATACCTGATTGAATACAAAAATTAAATTTGGGGGTAGACCACGTATTCCTGTTTAATGCACTGCTAAATGAGCTACTTTCTGGATGACTATTGAAGACCTTAGTCATGTTAACAGTATCAGCATTTTGTTGATTGATTTTTAAACAAGTTTTTAATAGATTAAAAAAATATCCTCTTTTCCTCCCCGTGCAATTGGGCATCCTAAATGTAAAAAGCAGACTTAATTTTTAACGTTAAGTGCTTTTTTGTAGAAGAGATGTTATTCCTTTCTCAAGGAGGAATAATTTTGCTTTGTTTATACTTGTTCTGATAGCTGTATATCATGTAAAATCCAGGATCATTCTTTTGTATTCGATGAGGAAATTTAATCAGTTGAATCTGAAATTACTTATTGACTAGGTTTTCCTAGGGGAGCCACACCCATAATCCTTAGCCTTAAATAGTAACATCACCATCACCACCATCCCCTTTGCATTAATTGCCGTAGGGGATTGGAGTGGTTTGAAAAAGTGCTTTGGGACAGCATGCACACACACACTATATGTACATAAGGCAGTGTATTATCTACATGTGCCTTTTCCCGTAGATATGGTATCCTCACACTTGTTCTGAAACAATTTTACAATCTTAAATCTGAAGCACTGGATATTTATAAATACCAGATAAAGTCACAAGTGCCCACATGAAGAAACACTGATTTTAATAATCTCTAAGGTTCTATTTGAAATTGTTCTACTGTTTTTACAGTATATTTTAATATTTTAGTATTAAACTATTAAATGGCTGTTCTGTCTTTCTAAGGGCATGAGGGTAGAGACAAACCTTCAGTTCAGATTACCTTATCTGTACATCTTAAAGCTCCATATGAATCATATAACTCTTGACTTCTATTTAAGTTCTAGAAGTAAGTACTTTTTAAATGTCTTTTGTAGTCTTTTTTAAAACTTTTGAAATATGACTCCAGAATATTCTCTCAGCATGGAATTACAGCCCTAATCAGCTGTAAAACATCGAGGAATGCTATTATAGCATTTTTCTCTGATTTCCTTTGCTAACTTTTGTGCTTCCTCTTTGATAAAGTGATATATCATTGCATATAATGATACAAAAAAAATTCTCCTTACATTTCCAGTCACTAGAGACCAACTTCTTAAAATTTTAGATTTTGAATATATGTTGGTAAATGTTGCTTAAGAACTTGCCATCTGTTTAAATAAACTTTAGCAAAAGAAGTCTTGTTTGGTTGTATTAGATAATATCATTTTTTTGCATCTCAATGGATATATAGTTGGCTGTGGTGACTTCATCACGTGCTACTGAAACTTCTGGATACAGCCCTTTAGTGAGAATATGATGAATGTAGTTGAATGGGTCCTTTACTGAATTACAGATATGTAATGAAATTCTTGGAGCAAACCATATCTAGATACAGCTGTAAAGCTCTTTCTGGTTTTTGTGCTTCAGATAAATATCTGATTTTACCTTAAGGAATCATTCTTCCCAACATATCTGCTTTCTCTAAGTATAAATTATAGGTCAGTGATGGCGAACCTTTTAGAGACCAAGTGCCCAAACTGCAACCCCAAACCCACTTATGCATCGTCGGGTGCCGGGTGGCCCATTGGGTGGGCGTGGCTGCGGTGGTAAAGGGTGAGACTGGGTGAGACTAAAAAGTTTAATCAATCAATTCCAACTTTGCAAGATATTATTTTTCCTCGCGAGAAGTTGAAATTGACTGACTGATTGAACCCCCCCCCCTTTTTTTTTACACATGGCAGCAGAGGCCTAAAGCGAAAAGCTTTTATAAAACCCAGCTGAAGGCCTAGGACTGGGGCAATGGCGCGCGTGCCCACAGAGAGGGCTCTGAGTGCCGCCTCTGGCACCCGTGCCATAGATTCGCCACCACTGTTATAGGTTGATGCTATAAAGTTTACATGTAGTTAATTTTGCTTTATTGTTTACTAAAATCTCAAGATAGATGCCTTATAACAAATAATATAAAGAAATCACTGTCTGTGGTTTAAAAGCCACCAAGGAGTTTTAAAAAAAGTTTTAATGGTTATGTAAGTTGGAAGTTTCAGCACTGTACCAAATCAAGACGGGCTCATTTCAAAAGTGAAGTCTCGAAATCTTACTAGCTGTGGAAATTTTGCAGATAAATAAGAGCATTATGAGGTAACAACACCAGTACCCTGGTTTACTTTGTACAGAATGCAGATAGCTGGTCTATAGTACTATTTGTTTATAAGGATGAATAGACGTAAATTGTCTGTACTGTAATAAAGGGAATTTGCAAGTGATTTTAGAATCCTTTATTGTCTACACGTAAAATAAATACAGATAATTCTCAACTTATAACCATTTGTTTAATGATGGTTCAAAGTTACAATGGCGTTGAAAAAAGTGACTTATGATCAGTGCTCACACTTACAATCATCACATTACAATCATCACAGTATCCCCACTGTCATGTGATCAAAATGCAGACGCTTGAGAACCAGCATGAATTTCCAACAATTACAGCATCCCGAGGTTGTGTGATTCCCATTTGCCACTTTCCCAGCTGGCTTTCAACAAGCAGTCAATGGGGGGCGGGGGAGAGCCGGAGTTGTTTAATTACTGTGTTATTTACTTTACAATTGCAGTGGTTCACTTAACTGTGGAAAAAAAGGTCGTAAAATAGATACAACTCACTTAACAATTCCTTGCTTAGCAATAGCAATCCTGTTCCAATTGTGGTTGAAAGCTGAGGACTACCTGTATATGCATAAACTATATATATAATGTCTAACATTTTAATAATCAAGAACAGTTTAGAACAGTTTCTATACAAAACACATTCTTTAAAATATTGATAAAAGCAGTTTTCTTCAAGTTCTGCTTTAAAAGCTAACAATTTTCAACTGAAAGAAAATATGAATTGCTTGAAAAAAATTTAGAACATGTTATATAAATAACAACAGTGCATTTTTATTTTATTTCCAGTTCTCACAATTACTATGAATTACCATTAACCAAGCAAGCCAGACGATGAAAAAGGTTATAAGCTATCATGTGGATAGGGAACCAGATTGGAAAAGATTGCCTTGTTTGGTTTCTGGTGGGAAGAAAGGGCAAAATACTAGATTCCAGACTGTCAATTACATCTTGAGTTGCACAATTGTCTAGGTAAATCTGCCCATGATCTTGGACAGGGGAGGAACAAGTGAAAATAGAGGCTAAGCTGAGGACTGATCAGTTATAACAACCTGGAAAAAAAAACTTATGTTTTTAATAACAGCTGAAGCAGTTTATTTTGTGAGTATCCTATTGTTGTTATTAGTAAATTTCCCCTCCACACATCAAAAAAATTAAACATACTTTCAAAGTCTAGATGCATATCAGGCACTAACAGTTAAGTCTTCCCAGCACAGAGGTTAACTGTCTTTGGAATTTAGCATTCTAAGTTGACTTCTAAGGCTAGAAGGCAGACTCTAGAGATTTGAAATAGTAGAAGAGAAAGCTGAAAAAGGTGTTCTGAGGTAAGAGCTTTGTTGCCTTTAACAGGTTTTACCATGTTACAAATAGATTTTCAGCATGAGGGAAGCCAAAGCATCTCCTGAAAAAGAAATGGGAAGATGCAACTACAGTATCTTAACGAGAAACAATCTTGATGAAGACGCCATCCCTTGGTCCTAGTGTGCCATGAGATTTGACCTGCAAAGGGATCTGGGAAGAGGGTGAAGAAAGAAAATGCAAAGCAAGTTAGCAAGCATCAAGTAATATAGGAAAGGGAATTTTCTACTCTGTACTTCCCAAGTTTCATATTTGTGTGAGTTGGAAGAGGGCTACAATAAGCAAACATGAAACTAGAATTAGAGGAATCCCGGTTCAAACTGATTGGTAGGAAAAATAAAGAAGGGAGACTATACATGGTGCCCAGAGCTCCTGGATAAATGAGATATAAATCTAACAATATACCTGAAATGCCTAGCAGGTACCTCAGGATGTTTTCCAGTCAGATCAGCCATAGAGAGTCTGGCTGGCAACCATCCTTGCAGTGTGCTACAGTGTTTTAGGAATATTTGGGGGCAATGTTACATGAAAGGTCTACCTTATTTTTCAAAAGAACCTTTGATCCACCAAGAGAGCCTGAGATACAGTATACCCTTCAGAACAATCTCCATAATATATTGTATATCTAGCTCAGTCTAGAGCAGTGGTTCTCAACCTTTCTAATGCCGCGACCCCATAATACAGTTCCCCATGTTGTGGTGACCCCCAACCACTTATACATCACCGGGTGCCAGGGGCGTGGCCAAAGAAAAGGGGGAAAAAATGGCGGACAGCCTTGTTTGGCGACCCCTGTGAAATGGTCGTTCGACCCCAAATGGGGTCCCGACCCACAGGTTGAGAACCACTGGTCTAGAGTAAAGGAAAAGTGGCCCAGTTGAGATTCTTGAGCTTAATTCCATATCCTATTCTTGGAGTTAAAAACAACCAAATCATACCAGTGTATTTTTAAAAACTTACGATATTATGGAGTAAATATATATATATGAATTTTTCAAAATAAAGGATGGGTTGCCCACTCCTGGAGACCTTGTTGGGAAACCAGGAGATGCTACTTGAAGCTCTCTTTTTTTTTTGCTTTGCAGTTCATTTTAAACAAAGTATTTTTTTTTAAAAAAAGCAAGAAGCCTTGGTGGTCCCATATCTTGAAAGCCATGTTGGAGATACAGGGGAAATAGCTATAAGTCTATTTGTACTAAAGAGAAATGAAAAACAATTCCTCCCCTCATGGTCTAGTTATTTGCTTTTTGTTACTATCTTCCGCAAGAAGTAAAACATGCACAAACCTGGGTCTCGGGGCAGGTTTTGAACATGAACCTTTGCAAAATTCTTAACAGTGCCATTTTTATCGTCATCAAGCCCAACTTCATGCCAATGCAGCCACGAGGACCTGCTCCAAAGGGCAGATAAGCAAAGGGCTGCTGCTGCTGCTGCATAGCCTCAGCTGTAAATCTGTGGGCAAAGTTAAAATATTGGTTGAGAAATTGAGCATTTTCATTTTAAAAAACTGGGTAGGCAGTGTTTGTATGGCTTGTTTGATAATTAAGACACAGCAGTTCCATTCCTGTAAAGGTAGTCAGTCCATGACTTAACAATCATTCATTTAGTGACATTCGAAATTATAATGGTACTTGTAGGTGACTTGCAATTGGTCCTTGCACTTTTATAACAGGGGTCCTCAAACTTAGCCACTTTAAGACTTGTGGATTTCAACTCCCAGAATTTCCCAGCTGGCTGGGGAATTCTGGGAGTTGAAGTCCACAAATCTTAAAGTGGCCATGTTTGAGGACCCCTGACTTATAACCATTGCACCATCCACATGGTCACATGATCAAACTTTGGGAACTTGGCAACTGGCATGTATTTATGATGGTTGCAGCATTCCAGGGTCTTGTGATCTTTCCAGGGGCTTCCCACAAGCAAAGTCAATAGGCGGGGAGCCGGATTCATTTAACAGCCAAGTGATTCGTTTAATTGCAGTGGTTCACTTAAGAGCAAAAAAAGGTCATAAAACTGGGTGTGATTCCCTTAACAACTGCCTTGCTTAGCATCAGTAATCCTGCTCCCAACTGTGGCGGGACCGGTCAAGGAATACCTATAATGTGTTCTGTGGGAGGGTACACATTTTGCATTATGCATAATTGTGCCTCCCAGTGCTTTGTTGTTGTTTTCTGTACAATAAATAATGTGATTTGACAGATTTAACATTGTGATTTGAACAAAGAACTATAAGCCCTATTTACCTCTCAGGAATAAACTTTTCAGGGTCTGGCCAGAACTTTGGATTATAATGGAGATGTCCAACAGCAATTTCCATGATAGTGCCAGCTGGGACTTGCTGCTGCAGCACTAAGCAGTCTTTTGCTGCTTCCCGGGTAAACCTACAAGAGCAAAGATTACATATTCCATAAATAAGAAAGCAAAAACATGACAATGAAGCACTTGAAGAAGCTTCATTGTAAGCCATTTCAGACCTCAGCTGATGTGTCTAAGTAGGAAAAGTATTATTATAATCAATGCAAAGAAAATTGTTTGGATGAATAGAATAGAATTAGAATTAGAATAGAATAGAATAGAATAGAATACAGCTGGAAGGGGTTTTGGAGGTCTTCTAGTCCAGCCCCCTGCTCAAGCAGGAGGACCTATACCATCTCAGACAAGTGACTGTCTAGCCTCTTCTTAAAAATCTCCAGTGATGGAGCACCCACGATTTCTGGAGGCAAGCCCATTCCACTGGTTAATTGTCCTCACTGTCAAGAAGTTTCTCCTTAACTCCAGGTTGCTTCTCTCTGATCAGTTTCCAACCATTGTTTCTTGTCCTGCCCTCAGGTGCTTTGGTGAATAAAGTGACCCCCTCCTCTTCTTTGTGGCAGCCCCTCAAATACTGGAATCCTGCTATCATGTCTCCCCTATTTCTTCTTTTCTTTAGACCTGCCAAATCCAAGTCCTGCAGCCATTCTTCGTATGTTTTAGTCTCCAGGCCTTTGATCATCTCAGTTGCTCTTCTCTGAATTTTTTCCAAACTCTCAACATTTTTTTTGTGACATGGTGACCAAAGTTGGCTGCAGTATTCCAGGTGAGGTCTTACTAGATAGGAAGATGGGAGCTGATGAAACTGAATATTTTGCTAGTCCTTAAAAGCTACTCTTAGGCTTCTACTTTATTTTTAGGAACCAATGAAAAACCTTTTTTTACTTGAACTGTCCTACGTGACAACTTCTGTCTTGAAATGGAAAATTTATCTATCTATCTATCTGGTTATATGTTGCCCAGTTCTGAAGGCTTTAGGCAGAAGAAATAGAAGAGAAAGAGGGAGGGAGGGAGAAAAATGAAAAGGAAGGAAAGGAAAAGAAAGAAAGAAAAAGAAAAAAAGAGAAGAAAGAAAGAAAAGAAAAGGAAGGAAGGAAAGAAAAAGAAAGAAAGAAAGAAAGAAAGAAAGAAAGAAAGAAAGAAAGAAAGAAAGAAAGAAAGAAAGAAAGAAAGAAAGAAAGACTCAATCAAAATTCTACTGGATTTCCTGGAATTTCCCCACCAGCTGATGGCTGTGAATATTTTCCAGGGAAAATTATGCTACAGAGAACATAACTCACCTATATATTTGCATCATAACTCAGTTAATAATAATAATAGTAAAGTTGGAAGGGACCTTGGAGGTCATCTAGTCCAACCCCCTGCTCAGGCAGGAAACCCTATACCATTTCGGACAAATGGCTGTCCAGTCTCTTCTTAAAAACCTCCAGTGTTGGAGCATTCACCACTTCTGGAGGCAGGTTGTTCCACTGGTTAATTGTTCTGTCAGGAAGTTTCTCCTCAGTTCTAGGTTGCTTCTCTCCTTGATTAGTTTACATCCATTGCTTCTTCTCCTGCCTTCGAGTGCTTTGGAGAATAGCTTGACTCCCTCTTCTTTGTGGCAGCCCCTGAGATATTGGAATACTGCTATCATGTCCTCCCTCGTCCTTCTCTTCATTAAACTAGACATACCCAATTCCAGCAACCATTCCTTATATGCTTTAGCCTCCAGTCCCCTAATCATCTTTGTTGCTCTTCTCTGTACTCTTTCTAGAGTCTCAACATCTTTTTTACATCGCGGCGACCAAAACTGGATGCAGTATTCCAAGTGTGGCCTTACCAAGGCATTGTAAAGTGGTATTAACACTTCATGTGATCTTGATTCTATCCCTCTGTTAATGCAGCCTAGCACTGTGTTGGCCTTTTTGGCAGCTGCAGCACACTGCTGGCTCATATTTAGGTGATTGTCCACTAGGACTCCGAGGTCCCTCTCACAGTTACTACTATTGAGCAAGGTACCCCCTATGCTATACCTGTGCATTTGGTTTTTCTTGCCTAAATGTAGAACCTTGCTTTTTTCACCATTGAATTTCATTTTGTTAGATAGCGCCCAGCCTTGTTGGGATGCACTGTGATAGGGGAAAAACATCTAAAAAAGAGCCAGTGTTGTGCATAAACTCTCTTCATTTGACCACTATACTGTTAAATGATATTTATTTTGTTCTGTCTGAATTCAGCAGACAGAGTGGAGTGTCATTTTGGGTTCAGCTTTATAAAGCCTGTGAATTACCTGAGAAAAGGAAATCTGAAATATTTCCTTTTCTTCTATGCCAACTCCATTTTTGGTCCTTCCATTCAAAGTCATATTTGATTATGATGGTTCCAATATATTATTCCTTACTGCCAAGTTAAAATGTTTTCTAATATTTGTTTCTTTTATTGCTACTTTTAATTACCCAGAACAATTTTCTGACATTTATTTCTTAATATTTTGCATTTTAAACTGCATTGTTTTAAAGTAAAAAAGTAAACAGTTTGAAATTTCTGATGGAAAAAGAAAAGATATGGTTGAAAACAAAACAAGATGTCACCTGTTTTAAAAGTACTGGATTCAGCTTGATTTCTAATGTTAGAAAGACTATTGAGAATATCTAACAGATGACTTTATATTGGCGTAAGATACAAATACCTACTCAACATGTTATTGTCTTGTGGGATAAGAAATGTTATGCAAAGCAAAAAAAGTGGAAAGCCTTAAGCAAGGAAAAGTACAAGATAAGCACATAGAAATCTAATTAATTGCAATTTATGCAAATACATTTACCATAGCTCTCTATACTTTTCATACATACCATACATGATTTCATCAAATCCATACATACATTCATACATTTCCTTTCGTTCTGTAAAGGTCCCACATTCTCTTTCTGAAAAAAGCCTGATTCATATTAATTTACTCTCCATATAACCAAATCGTATCCTGGATCTTATTTGTGGATTCAATCTGTAATAATTCAAACTATTCTTCACCTCACCACTTCTTACCTCTTAAATATCCCACTGCCACAGCATTCGGTTTATTTTTAGCAGTTCCTCCCTCCATATTCAGCTCTAACAACATGGGCAGAAGCATATTCTTAAGCATGAACATGTTTGCTTCTTTTGACAATCATTCCTGACAAAAGACCACATACAATCTGCTACCTTTCTGCCAGCATTTGCACACTTTAAAATGTATCTATCCATTTTCCCATCTATCAAAGTGGGATAATATATTTTCAATTTTAATTTTTTGTTGAAGAATATTTGTTAGCAAATGTTGAAAAAAAAATCAACTGTATAACCTTGATCAGTAATCTTCATGTAGCAGTTGAACAACTACAGATAGTCAGTGCTTACCATCAGTAATTGAGATTAGCAACTCTTGACACCAAGCACTGCAATCATAAAATATGATGTCACATGTCCATGCTGACTTAGGACAGCAGTTGCAGCAGTTCCAGTTGCCATTGTTAATCTAATTCTCCATGGTTGTTGGGAACAACGCCATGTGATTTGCAACCTCCTGCTGGCTTCCTCACTGACTTTGCTTGTTGGAAGTCACTGGTGAATGTTGCAAATGGCAATATTATAGGAAGCTGCAATATTATAACTCAGGGGTCTCCAACACCCAGTCCACAAACTGTTGGAAACTAGGCCATGCAAGCAGTGGGCGAGCGCACAAAGCTTCATTTGTGCATGCATGGGATCTAGATTATATCCTCAAAACCACCACCACCCCCATCGCTGACAGAAAGGTTGGGAACCACTATCATAAGTGCAAGCCAGTCACTAAATACCCAAATTGCAACCTTATGATTGCATGGATGTTGTAATAACCATAACTATCAGGAACCATCGTAAGTATCCCTTGTTCAGCTTCCGGTATAATGTCGTAGTGATACGGATGTAGGAAGGCAGAGCTCTGCTTTCCATGCCCAATTTCACCTTGCTAGGAGCCCTAAAAGGGCCTAAAGTTGCCCCAAAGAGCCGATGAAGAAGGAGGGGTGCCTCAATCACAGAGAGATGGTGGTCTTTCCATTTGATCCAAGGAAATCCCTCCAAACTGGCAGGGAAAAGACTGGCTGCATCCCTGTGGCCAGCTTCCAGCTACTGACAGTCGAAGAAACAAAGCACTAACTAGCAGATCGTAAACAATGAGTTTGGAACTGGGTGAGAATATTGATCCTTTTTTTTTATTTTTAACTGAATTTCCTGGAAAAGGCTCCCAAGAAGCTAAAAACTTCCGAACGTGAGAAGGAAAGAGACTGTAGCCCCATCCTTCTAGAGAAACGGAAGCAGCATTTTAATTTTTTTATGGGGGACAGAAATACATAATACTGAAGTGGAAAAATATAGAACTACAGCTTTGACAAATTTGATAACTGAAATAAGTGTTAAGATTTTCTTTTTGTCAAAATCAATCTTCTGTTTTGATAATGGAAAATGGATATAAAATGACATCTAGTGGTGGTTTAGAAAATAGCACTATAATTGAAAGGACTGATGCTGACCTGGACACCAGAGCAGAAGGACTATTACAAAACATTGCTTTTAATGCTGGACTCATATCTTGGCATCTATTGGATTATAAAGGCTATATATAAAGACCAGAAAAACTAGATGAAACTTTGTTCTATTGCCATCAAGATTGGTAATATTAGATAAGACTTGTATTTGGAGATCACAAAAATTCTGACAGACTTATCTGGAGGGGGGAAACTAAATGGAGGCCTTATATCCAGCCAAAAGTGGGAAAGCATACTCAACACCTCCATCTGAAGCCCCAGCCAGGTTTAATGAAGGATCTGCAGGAGTGATGCCTCAAGAAAAAACAAACACTTTTCAGAAGGAGATATATTCTATGCTACAATTAATTCACCAGACAATTGCTTCACATAAAGAAGACACAAAAAGAAATTATAATGAGATTAAAAACAATTTAGTTAACATAAATGAGCAAATTTCTAATTTAAACTTACAGCTAGAAAGTTCCCAGACAACGACTACAAAGTATGAACAAACAACCCAGAAAATAGAAGATGAATCAAAGGAAATTGATCCAAGACAGAAGACATAAAAGAAGGGAAATACAAACTGCCACAGACAAATAAAATCCTGCAAGACCCAGCTATAATAATGAAAATGGAAACTTTACCCCCTAGGTCTGCAAAATATACTTGAGGACAAGAAAGAAGATTTTAAAAAATGGACTGTAGAGCTGTTAGGGGAAATTCCAGAAATTGGGAGACAAAAAATGAAAAGAGAAGTTGAGGGAGAAAGAAAGTGGGAGTTGCTTAGGAATATAAATGGGCGGAATTCCCCCTCAAAAATACCTTACATAAATTGTCTTCCTTACTCCAAGCAACTTACACAAAAATAGAGGAAAAATTCTTTGATTATTTAATTGCCTTGGCCTGGAAGGCTATTTGGTAAAGGAAGAAAGCTAGAGTTACACTTAAAAAACAGAAGATTTGTCTTATCAGAGGGGACATTATATGATTAAGTATTTGTTTGAATATGATTAAAAGATTGGATAACTCTTAGATATAATTAGATTTTTATAATAAGGATGATATAATTTATAAGTAGAATAGCACCTTTTTTGATATGGAAAATATGAAAATACAAGGATGGCTTATATAAATAAAACTCTTAGCTATATAAATGTAACTAATCTTGAGAAAATTATAACTGATAAAGATATTCTGAATATTGATAGGAAATTAAACTTAAATAAGAACATGAAAAACAGGATATTGATTTAATAAGATTTTAATTGCAAATACATTTGAAATATAGATTGGTTAGAAAAGGTTGTAAACTGATATTGTTATTTGTATAACGCTAGAAAATATGATGAGGATGTTTATATTCAATTTTGTATGCATCAGTAGCAAGAATTGTATTTGCGTAGTGTTGGGAAAATGAAAATAATTTGGGAAGAAAGGAGGATCAGGGTTGTGCAGTATTGAACTGATTGACATTGAAGAAGTTAATGTTAAATATGTAAACCCAAACAACACGTTGTTTACTAAGCACTAAAGATTGTAATTGTTAAAAATCAATAAAATATTTTTAATAAAAATAAGTATCCCTTGTTCTGTCATAACCATGAATCATTCTGAATAAGTAGATGCTAAATGAGGACTATCTATATAACTATCAAGTGCCAGGGAAATCAGGAGATGGGGAATTCAAATGAGTATAAAGATTTATTGCAAGATTTAAGCTCTCTGCAAGAGCCTGAACTAATGGTCAAGGGAAATTAACAGGAATTAAGAATAGAAAGGAATTCAAGATGGGTTGGACTCAGTACTCTTGTGGGCATGCAGGGACTCAAGACTGATGATACATTTGACTCCTCCCTTTGTCATCTTCTAGAATAACATTGTAATGGAATTTCATTGGAGCTTATGGAATTTCATTGTTAGAATTCTGTGCAATGTGAGTTTTGAATGGTACATTGGTTTTGGGAATCTCTGTTCAAATGCCTTCTCAATTTCTATTTGCTTGCTCAGCACCTCTTAGATCTATGCTCATCATAAAATGAGCCAGTTTCCCTGAACGTTTTTCATCCAGTTGTTAATTAAATTTCTGCCGTGAGCCTCCTTATAATGGGAAGTGAATTTTCTTTTTACTGCTGTTTGTGATTTGAATTCAGCTAACCAGCAAATGAAGTTGACTTTTTTTTCAATGCTTGCCATTTTTTAAACAGATTTGAACAAAAAAATAAAATTAAAAACATATTATTCCCAATTCATAAATTTAAGTGTAAAAGACATTTGATTCATTAAACTTTCCAATGATTTTTTTTATTTTAAGTATGCAACATTTATACTTCTGAAAGTATATTATTAAAGCTTAAAACTGCACTAAGAATTTTGGAATATCCTGTACTGTACCAGAGCTCTTTCAAGACCCAGAATAAGCCTGACTCCTTATAGATTGAGACCAGACTCACATTCATTCCCTGGAGTGATGTGAATCGCCTACATAAGAAAGAAAAGACGCTTCAAAAATCACAGTGTCTCCTATCTTACTAACCTGAATGCTGGAGGATACATGCGCAGAATCTCTGCTATCACCATATCAAGATATGGAAGGTCCTGTATATTTTCATAATCTGGAATGTCCTGTGGGAATGGGAAGAAAAAAATGATTATTATTTTAGCAGAATATTTATATTATACCTGTCTCTTACCATCACAATGGCCACCAGAAGCACAACATGAAAGCATGAAGTACCAGCAAAACAGTAGACCCTAACCCTAAATGAACAAAAAATGCCAATAGCAAAAAACAAGCTTGCATCTAGGCATAGTAGTATTTTTTTTACCCAGGAATTGTAAGTCACAATGCATTTGAAGGTTATTTGAAAATGTGGCAGCTTATAGGCTGGCAGAAGAGATTTGCTTCAGCAATGGAACATTTATAGGATGGGTCCTTCACTGATTGTCAGAATGTTTCCAAGTATAATTCAGAATGCTGATTTGTACTGATCACATTGTCTAGAGCTAATATCCAGGTGTACAGAATCCTCAATTCTCCCTAAAGAAAATCTGCAGGTTCTGTGTGGCTAGCCAGGAATAGTAGCTTACAAGCAGGCCTATGACAGTCACAGCTTAGCTTCCACCATGCAACCCATCAAAGGCCTGAGACGCCTTATGTTGTAAAGCTGTTTTACTCAGGGAGAGTTCACAGGGAAAGGGTCAAAAAGTCAAGAAGGTGAACACAAATGTGCAATTAATGCCACAATGCTGGGTGCAGTTTGATCACCTGGTTATGGACACCCTCTTGATTTTTTTTTCTTACCCACCCACCCTCTCTGCAGACACTGCTGCATTGATTATGGTTTTGTTGTGCTGTTTTAAACCGCAGTTTTGTGATTTTACATTTTTATCTGACCTGCCCTGTGTTTGGGGAGGGGGGGAGAGGAAGGGAGGAAGAGAGAGAGAGAGAGAAATCTAATATATAATATTACTATAGAGAAGGGAAGGGATCTAATTATTAATTATAAATAACATTAATATATGGAATGAAAAGGAAACATTATACTGCTATAATGTCATTCTTTCTCATTCTACCCTAGATTTCAGGATTGTTGTGAGGACAAAATGGGATGATTGCCATGACCTCAACTCAGCTTCCTGGAGAAAAGTTGGGCTGCAAATGTGATAAAAACCCTATACCTTATTTTCCTATTGGTTGGAAACCGATTCACACTGTGAATCAAGGAGCCACAGTGAATTGGATCCAGAATCATAGATAGTTATAGAGACAAGGGTCTCTGCTACAAGGGCTTCCAACACAGCGCAGGTATCTTGATGACAGGAAATGGGATTGTTCCCTTTCTTCTTCCTGCCATCTCCTAAATTATACCCCTCAATTTTCTGGGAATAGCAGGGCATTCGCAAGCATCATTTCTTCTGGAGAACCATTTTGATCTGGTCATTCCGCAAAGCAGGTTCTCATTGGAAGAAAAAGAAAAATGAATCCAACCTTTTGATCTTTGTCACACTGAATAGCATCTTTGGATCGGGAATAAATATTAATTTACATTTCCTCCTTAGGTTTTAAATTGTAAAAAAAAAAAGCAGTTAAACATCTTCCAGCCCTGCTTTCTAAAAACCATGTTTTGGGGTTTTTTCTTACTAATCTATTATCTGCCCACCCTTCCCATTGAAAATAGTCAAAAGGAATAAGGAAGGCATGAAATATTACTCTGATGAGCCAGGTGAGGGCAGCAAAACTATACGTACCAAATATGTGTATAAAGCAGAACACTTACAATGCCTGAATGTTCACTTCAAATAAAACACTACAAGATATCTTATGTTAACATTTCATATTAATTTTGAGAAATCTTCCTTAAGGTTTAGAATATGCTAGCATTTAGTATTTAATTTCCACAATCCTTAGCCCATTATGGTTACTGGCCATCTGATTGAGAGATGATGTGAATTACCAGTCTGTTGTGTCTTAACCAACATATAAAGACTCGAATCAGGTCAGGATCAAAAATACGTTTCATTTCTTTAAATATGATAAAAATCAATGTAGGGTAGTTATTTATCCTGGCCTTACTGTTCTTCCTGAACTGCATCATTATTTAGTCCAGGATCAGCAAATATGCCAGTTATAATTCAAAATTTACTAAAAGACTGCACAGAAAGAGGCACAGATGTCTGACCTTCCTCAGTTTCTAGGGGCAGGATAAGCTTCCAGCTAAACTAGATCCATCTCGATTTCCTACCCAGCCAAGAGAGGTCAGGGAAACCTGATAATGTTAGGCATTTTGCTGCACACATTTGCTATTGCCTTACTGATAAATGCAAGGACAGACTCCGAGCGGGCTTTAACAGAATCTTCCAGAGCTGTTTGCTGAAGCAAGTTCGTCCTTACAGAGATTGTGAGGAGAAGACAATGCGAGATCTCTGGGATCCATTCAAAATTGGAAGAGTGGGGTCCTTGGTGCCTGGAGATCATCAAGGATTCCACAATTCAGCCCTGAGCTACACCATTCTCTTCTGTTAAAATGGGAAGTGCAATGCACAGCCTGGAACTTTACTACATATACCCAGTTTGTGTGAAAAGGGAAGGCCTGAACATCAGTTTGAAATAGAGTTTTTGACAAAGGTACATTTGAATAACCAGAAAAAGCAACCAATACTGTCTTTCTGCAATTATACAACTCAAGGGGATTAGCGCATGTTTGATTTCACTCCCTTTTCATAAATTTCCCACTTACAAGAAGGTGGGAAGAAAAATTCTAAGCCTGCTTTTTTCCCCCTACTAATGTGCCACTTTTTCTTTATGGAAGAGGGATTCTTTGGGGGATTTTGTTTGGTCTTCTTTAATGCAAGGAGGCATTCATGCTTGAAACTCTTCCACCTATATTCTGAAGCATTAGTCCCAGAAGGGCTACATGTATGCATGTGTAAAAATTGTATCAAAGCTTGATAAAAAAAATTATAAAGAAGCCTCAGGTCTCATTTTTCAAGAGGGAAGGTTTCCAGTGACAAAGCTTAGGCAAACAAAAAAATATCACTAACCACTGCTACATTTCATGGCTCTTTTTAAAGCTGGCCATCTCTATTTCAGTCTTTGAATTTCTGAAACTGCCATCTTATGGTCTCTTCAAAAGGTGTGTCAGGACCACAAAATATCAAGGATTTCCTTTTTGAGGGACTGAAGAGAACAAATCATGGCATTTTCCTATTGGCTTTGTTTCACCAGCAGTGCTTCCACAGCAAGGGAAAAAGAGAGGGGGTGGGCAGTTTGATTTGCAAAATTTCAATGGTCTGGATTCAAAGGGCCTGTGGATGTGCATGTTGCACCTCTGCACCTATCTGCATGTCCTTAATCAAATGGGTCTTTTCCTAGTCTCATACAACTGAGGGAAAGCTTAATACAGCTTCTTTTCAGAGTTGCTGACAAGGGGAACATGATAATTAACCATGCTCTGACTCACCTTTTCCCTTTCAGATACATAGACATGCACAGCTGTGACAAAAATACTGAAAACATGTCAACCCTAGTGTTATTCTCTTTCCAGCTGCTTCCCCCCAAACACTAGCATGATTCTGACAATAATAAGCTTAATTAAACAGGCAGTAGCTTAATTATAATGTCCCTTCAGTTCACTTGGCAAACCACAGGCATTATGGCCATTGTCCTACTGACTGGTTCTCCTGTATATCATCAAATGCAAAGACCTGCATTTTTAAAGCAATTCATCTATTCAGTGATCCTCAACAAAGGGGGGAAAAGCCCTTAATTTTTACAAGTCAGGAGTTTTTATTTGTAGACTAATAATCAGATTTGGGGAATCTCAAAATAGAAGAATATTTCCTACATTAGTCAGAAGAATATTTCCTACATTAGTATCTACATCAGCTTTGACCATCTTTCATATTAATAAAAATGAATTGCAACATGACAAGGAGGAACATGATAGCAGTGTTCCAATATCTCAGGGGCTGCCCCAAAGAAGAGGGAGTCAAGCTTTTATTTTCCAAAGCGCCTGAAGGCAGGACAAGAAGCAATGGATGGAAACTAATCAAGGAGAGAAGCAACCTAGAACTAAGGAGAAACTTCCTGACAGTTAGAACAATTAACCAGTGGAACTATCTGCCTCCAGAAGCGGTGAATGCTCCAACACTGGAAGTTTTCAAGAAGAGACTGGACAGCCATTTATCCGAAATGGTATAGGGTTACCTGCCTGAGCAGGGGTTTGGACTTGATGACCTCCAAGGTCCCTTCCAACTTTATTATTATTATTATGAGTTAATATGCTTCAGTGAATATTTCCCATGACCTACAACAGGGAATGTTGAGGCTGAAGATAGGAATGTTCAGGTTGAAATAAACAGACCAAGTTAGCCACAGCAAATCAAAGTCCTACATTCACTGGAGTACAAAGCCTCAAGATCTAATTCCTAATAACCCAACAGCCAAACCCTTGAAGTGTTCCATCTTTTCTATTTTAGTTTAAGATTATCAAGTTAACTGGGAATTCCAAGCACAATCTGGAGGGCATGAGTTGAGAAGGATTATGACAATTGAGTTTATAAACAGAAATCAAATTCAAGCTGGTCAATGTGGGGGAAATACGCATAACCAGTGTTTTTTCCTCTCTTTCTACAAAAGAAAGTTATTTTTCTTTCTTTTGTACTTTAACTAGTTGCCTTTAAGTTGGTCTGACATGCTCTCAAATTGTATGTGGGTAACAACCCACCAATCCCACCCCCTAGATGGCAAAATGTCCAAGGGGAAATAGGCAGAGAGAGGATATGATACATACATGCATACATACATACATACATACATACATATATCATATCCTCTCTCTCTCTCTCTCTCTCTCTCTCTCTCTCTCTCTCTCTCTCTCTCTCTCTCTCTCTATATATATATATATATATATATATATATATATATATATATATATATATATATATATATATTTAAAAAACAGCTTCTCATCCTAATGGAAAATGACATTGGGGTCCAAAGAGTATCACAGCAATTAAACACCACACAATTCTTGCATTACTGTTCTGCATGAGATATAATATCCAGAAATAGTTATTGCAGATATTTTATAATAAAGAATCTCCAAATCTCCTGCCTCTTT